ATGTCCATAGCTGTGTTGGTTTCTGGGTTATGTCATCTTGTGTATTAATAGTTGCTTGTTGTTTGTTACTATTGATTCTCTGTTCAAAAGACTCCCTTTAGTATCTCTTGTAAGATTGGTCTGATTTTAACAAATTTTCTTAGTTTCTGCTTCTCTTAAAATCTCCTAATTTCACTATCATATTTGAGGGACAGTTTTGCTTATAATTCTTGGTTGAAAAATTTTCTCTTTCAGGGTCTTATATATACCCTCCCATTGCCTTCTCACATGCATGGTTCCTGCTGAGAAATCAGAACTTATTCTTATTGGTTATTCTTTGTAAGTAACTTTTCATTTTTCTCGTGCTGCTTTCAGGATTTCTTTGTCTTTGGTTTTGATGAGTTTGATTATGATATGTCTTGGTGATTTTCTTTTGGGGTCTATCCTGTTTAGGGTTCATTGGACTTCCTGAATGGATATATTGTCATCTTTCATCATATCAGGGAAGTTTTCCTCCAACAAATCTTGGACAATTTTCTCCGTGGTTTTATTTGTCTCTTCCTGTTCTAGAATTCTAATGACATGTAGGCTATTCCTTTTGATGGTACCCCCACACACACACCGAACCTTAGGCTTTCTTCATTTTGTTTTGATCTTTTTTCTGATTGATCCCCTTCCAAAGAAGTATTCAGATATTTGTCTTCAATCTTATTAATTCTGTCGTCCATTGATTTAGTTCTGTTCCTTTGCCCTTTCAATGTATTATCTATTTCTGAAAATTTAGTATTAATCTTCTGGATTTCTGTCTGTAGATTTTGAATCATTTCTAATTTTTCATTTATTTTCTCATTTTGTTCTTGTATTTTCCTCTGAAATTGTTCTGGGGTTTTGTCTGTGTTTTCCTTAATTTTTTTAGCGTTTTCCTTGATGTGTACCTCAATCCTTTGAAGATACCTAAGTAGAATTCTTTTGAATTCCTTATCAGTGAGTTCCAATGCTGCTTCTTCCTCAGGGATGTGTTTTGGGTCTGTATCATGCTCCCTTGTTTCTACCACTTTATCTTGCTTCTTTGTGTGGACTGTGATAGTCTCTTGTGTCTGAGACATTGTGATGTTGTTGTATTTAGATCTCTGTTAACTGTTCATGAAGAGCAGTAAGGGTGATACAGGCTCTTCTTAGTGGTTGTTTATCATTGGCCAGTTGGTGGCAAAGGAAGAGGTGGCTTTCACTCAGTAAGTGAAGCTGCAGGAGATGCAGGTGTGGTTGCATTGTGTGGGCACAGTTGCTGTCTCCCACTCAGACAAAAACAATAATAAAAAAAACATAAAAAAAGTAAAAGCAAGCAAACAAAAAACACATGACATAAACACACAGGAACAATTGCCAAAAAAGGGAAAAAGAAAAGAAAAAAAAAATCCACAATATCTGAGGAGAGGGCAATAAGAGAAAAAAGGTAGAGTAGGAGAATAATGAAGAAAAAAATGGGAAAGATGCAAAAAGAAAAACAGGAAACGGGCCTTAATCATGAGAAAGAAACAAATTGGAACCAGGAACAGGGAAGAGAGAAAAGCTGAAAACCAGAACCTGGGAAGGGTAGAATAAAGGATAATAAATAAAAAGAACCATAATAATAATAATAATTTTAAAACAGCCTAAAACAAACTAACTGAAAAAAAAAAAAAAAAGGGAAAAGAAAAAATATATGGGCAGGGTGGGACAGGGCACCCAAGCTAGGTCAGAGCACACAGACTGGGATGGAATGTCTGCCAGCCCAGAAGGTGGGTGGGAGTGAGGGATGGCAGCACCTCCCTTCACCAAGAGGGTGTGGGGTATAAGAGTAACAAGGGGAATATTGCAACTTTCCAGTCACTGGCATCCAGAATGCCCTTGTGGTTTCCAGCAAGTGGAGCCCATGAAGTAAATTATATTTTTAAGGCCACTTAAATCTTCTCTCCCTTTTAAAAATTTTATTGTTGTAAATATATATAACAAACAATTTTCCATTTGCCCATTAATTTCTTTTTATTACCAGTTACATTTCTAAAAAATTTTAGTGTATATACACGTGTAACAAAACATTTGCCATTTCAATAATATTCACACATACAGTTCAATGACATTAGTTATGTTCACCATGTTGTGCTACCATCACTACTATTTCCAAAAGTTTTACATCACTGCAATCAGAAACTCAGCACCCCATCAGCAATAACTTCCATTCCCTTTTCCCCCACCCTCCCCCAGCACTTGGTATCCACTAATAAAGTTTTGTCTCTATACATTTGCCTTTTCTAGATGCTTCTTGTAAGTAGGATCAATCAGTATGTGGACTTTTGTGTCAAGCCTATTTCACTCAGCATGTTTTCATTGAAAAGCTCTTGTGGTGTAGTGCCTAAAGCATTTGACTGCTAACCAGAAGGCTGGCGGTTCAAACCCACCAGCCACTCCTCAGAAGGAAAATTGGGTGATCTACTTCCATAGTGATACTGCCTCAGAAACCCAAGGAGAGGTTGTCATTAGAAGTCACAATTGACTCAATGGCAGTGAGATGGATAAAGAAGATTTTACTGTGGAGTCCTGAATGATGCAAATGGTAAATGGAATTGCCTGCTAACCAAGAGTTTAGAGGTTTAAATTTACCCAGAGGCACCTCAGAAGAAAGGCCTGGCAAGCTGATGAAAAATCAGCCATTGAAAACCTTATGGAGGGCCATTCTACTTTGACACAAACAGGGTCATCTTGAGTGGGAATTGACTGGGTGGCAACTGGTTACCCATCCCTTGTTGTTGTTGTTATGTGCCGTCGAGTCGGCCCTGACTCATAGCGATCCCTCCTTGGGTTTCCAAGGCAGTATCACTACGGAAGTAGATTGCCCCATCTTCCTTCTGAGGAGTGGCTGGTGGGTTTGAACCACCAGCCTTCTGGTTAGCAGTCAAGTGCCTTAGGCACTATACTACCAGAGTTCCTACCCATCCCTTAGACACTTTCATATAAACACTTCCCTTTTTCCCATCCTTCCAACCATACTTGCATCAGTCCTTTTAATAATTAAAATATTATTTTGACTTTATAATTGTGATTCAGAGTTGAACTATATAGTATCATATGATTAAAATCCCTTTTTTGTGTGCAACTTTGTGTTATTTTTAAACTCAATAACTGCCTGGATTTTTTTGTTTACTGATTTTTCTGTGTGCCTGTTTTTAAGTTGTTAACAAACTCTCAGCCAGAAGTAAAACTATCCTTCCCATTCCATCAGTTTCATCCTGTCTGAATCTTTTTTTTTGGGGGGGGGTGGTGGTGGAGAATAATCCTTCCTCAAGCTTTCTGTCCCCCTGATCCAGACTGAGTTGTTCTCTATACACCCTGCATACCTGTCCTCCTGGGTCTTCTGTATCATTATTCCATGAATTCCCTTTGTTATTCTGTGGGATTGGAGCCCTTGTTTCCTGGCTTCTGTTATCTTCATCTTTCTTGTTTAAGAGCTCAGTTTTTCTTTTTTGTGAGTTACATCGTCTACTAGCTTCTGAGAAAGAGTGCATGGTAGGTGAGTATTTACAGGCTGCTCCACAGGAGAAAAATGAGGCAGTCTGCTTCCATAGAGACTGAAACTTTAGAAGGCTGATGGGGCAGTTCTACTTTGTCCATTAAGGTCTCTATGAATCAGAATCGACTCAGTGGCAATGAGTTATGTTCATGGTCTTCATTGTGTAACTAACTTGCTCAGTTTTTTTCCTGAAACTTTGGTGTGTCAGACTTTTTTCTTGTAAATATTTTAATGTAGTATGTATGAACATTCAGTAAATATGCATTACTAAAAACCAAACTCACTGCTGTGGAGTTGGATCCAACTCATAGCGACCCTTCCTTGGGTTTCTGAGGCGGTATCGCTACGGAAGTAGATTGCCCAACCTTCCTTCCGAGGACTGGCTGGTGGGTTTGAAATGTCAGCCTTCTGGTTAGCAGTCAGGTGCCTTAGGCACCATGCCACCAGAGCTCCTAAATATGCATTGTTGTTGTTATGTGCCATCAAGTCATCTCTGACTCCTAGCAACCCCTCCTTGGGTTTCCAAGAGCTACAGAAATAATATTGTCAGCATTTTAACTCAAAATGTGTCTGAATAGACTATAAAAATTTAAGCTATATAGCTTACCTATTGTTATAATGATTGTGTTAATGAAAGACATGGGAAAATCACCCTATAGGATCAGGTTCCTAAATATACCTTTTAAGGGGATTAAGTGCAGGCAGTTCCCAGGTTATGAATGTCCGACTTACAGCAGCTCCTGCTTGCCCTTTAATGTTATGTAAATTTGCCCTCACTTTGAAAAGATGAACCAACCCCTACTCACAACAAATTCTTCACAATCACCTTCACTTGTTGCACGTGCAGCTTTTAAATCATTGCCAAGGCTTTAAGCCTTTTCTTGAACTAAAGTAAGGCTAACTGAAAACTGTATGTACTTGTTCCGATTTACCAACACATTCTAAAAGACACAGGAACAGATCTCATTGTAACCCAGGACTGCCTGTATTGTTTTTTGCTTTAGTCTACTGAAAGTTAAACCCAAACCAAACTCACTGCCATTGAGTCAATTCCACTCATAGAGAACCCTCCTTGAGTTTCCAAGGCTGTATCTCTACAGAAGTAGATTACCCATTCTTCCTTCCCGGGAGTGGCTGGTGGGTTTGAACTGCCAGTCTTCTGGTTAGCAGTCAAATGCCTTAGGCACTATGCCACCAGAGTGCCCAACTGAAAATTAGTCTCTTGAATTTTTCATTGTAAAATAATTGAAAATGAGCCTCTTTAACACATCTTTGACTCCAAGGAATGAAAACAAGTACTGATAGGAAAGCTACATCATGCATGCCTGGGAAATCCCAAACATGTGTCTCTTGTCACGTGCTTTGCAAGCTTGTCTGAACATTCCTGAGTGGGTTAGGGTTGAGGAAGCTTAGCTTGTGCTGTTTCTGGTAAACGCTGACCTGTGACTGATAATTGTGTTCCTTCTGTGCACAGGAGTTCTCTATCTTCAATATGGAGATGAAACCAAGCAGCTCAGGATGCCCAATGAAATTACAAGTGCAGACACAATTCGTGCTCTCTTTGTAAGTGCCTTTCCGCAGCAGCTCACCATGAAAATGCTGGAGTCTCCGAGTGTCGCAATTTACATCAAAGATGAAAGCAGAAATGTGTATTATGAATTAAATGATGTCAGGTGAGTAGTTAGTTAATGCTATTTTTCTATCCACTGTTTTGGATTTGGGCATTGATGCAATTTGTGTAGAGTCCACATTTCTTAGGGTCCCAATAAATAAAATAGGTATTATCCTGTTTGGCAGGCTTATCTCATCTATGTGTGAATTCACTATCTGGTTTTGTGCAGTTCATTTACAATGTACAGTTTACAAAAGTTAAGATAGATTTCTTCCACATAGATCTTTGAATGTTACATTTAAAGATATATTAGAAATCACCCAATCCACTATTTTATCTAAGAGGTAGAGAAACTCATGAGTTGGGAAACTAAGGCCCAGAAACATGGAGAGACTTGCTCATGGCCATGTGATCCTGAGACAGTACTTAGAACTGATACTTTCCCAGCTCCTTCTCAAATGCTCTTTCTCCCACCAATAAAGCCTGTGTTTCTTCTGGGTGTACTATTCATACCTATCAAGTTAGATTGAAAGCTGTGGACTGTGTGTTTCTATCTGTAAGAAAAGAAGAGACATTCACACTCTTCATTTGTTTCTTAAATAATTGTCCTTTACCAAAAACATCTTTTTTTCCTGATGGGTTTTCTCCAGGGCCCCCAGTTGGATATATCCTAAATGGAAGCTAGTGGACTCACGGTATTGCAGATGGCATGAAAATAAAAGCATCTTTATTGATGTAATGCTGTTGAACAGAAGGGACCCATTTAATCTGTCCCAGCAAAACAACCTGAGAAGGAGGACTTAAAACAACACAGTCATTGGTATAGCCTGAATACTGAACGATTATCTAGTGACTAATCCAGCCTTTTCATTTATGTTATAAAACATTTATGTTATGCAGAATATCATAGTTAAAGGATGTACTACCATTTCTGCAAGCCATTTAGCTTACAAGCTCAGCTCCAGACCTGGTTCTCCACATTCTTAGTTGAGAACTCTTTTTAAATTCCTTTGGAATGGTCCATCATCCATGCATCTGGGTCAGAAATTGGCATTTCTGGGTCCCTGCTCCATAGAAATAACAAGCTGCCCAGTTTCTTCAACATGGAATTAATGGATACCACTTTTTAAAAAATATGCCTCCAGTGCAAAATAAATGTAAACCAATAAATATCTAACAATTATCACAAATGACATATTTAGGCATGTGCTGAGGTGTATGAGTAATTTAGAGCTTTCAAAGTTTGACATATGCCCTAAGGTATAGGTGATACATCTGCTACACAGCCCTCTTGCTTCTTACAAATGAGTTTAAAATATTCATGGGTATCAGAAAATTTGTATTTTTTTTTTAAATAGATTATACATCAAGCTGTCATACACAAAAAAATTAAATTTGCAAGACATAAACGTGAGATAATCATGTTATGTTTAAAGCATATGTAGTGTTTTTATATTGAAATGCTGTGTTACATTAATCATCTATATGTCTTTATTTTGTAGTTAGAGGAATTGAGAAAACAGTAACAATAAATAAGTGTGAAATTGAATTAAGTCCACACATGATTATGGAGCTCAAGGCTGAGGTGGTTATGTACAATTTGACCCCTCTGTTTTGTAGCCTGTGCAAGGATTTTAATACTGTAATGGGTTGCCATTTTCTACAACATTCACATGCCATAAAGTCAAATTATTTGAATTTTAGTACTTCTTTTTTTTGGCCTGTTCTTTAGTAGTATAGTGACATCATCGCAAAAAATGAAAAGGGACGACAAAGAAGAAAAGGTCCCCAAAGGTTCTAAACTTAGATGATTTCCCCTTAATGGATTCAACTGCTAAAGTAGATGAAAGAAGCCCTTGAGAGAACTGATCCCTTTAAACACTAATAATTCTCAGTTAATATATTTATACTTGTGAAGATGGTTTTCTTCTTGATACTTTAGCTGTACACAGTGCCTAAGGCGTCTGACTGCTAACCAGAAGGTTGGTGGTTCAAACCCACCAGCCACTCCACAGAAGGAAAATTGGGCAATCTACTTCCATAAATATTTACTGCCTCAGAAACCCAATGGAGGTTGCTATGAGTTGGAATCGACTCGATGGCAGGGGGTTGGTTTGGTTTTTATTGGTAGCCTGATTTTCTTTTTTTTAATCTCACTTAAAATGTTTATGTGGAAGAAACATTTTTACTTGATGATGAATATAAGATTTATGCTTAAAGATCACATTTCTGTCACATTTCTCTTTTTTCTAAGGAATTATTCTATTTCTTTGCTTTTATGCATAAGATGTCTAAATTACATTTTTATTTAAATGGTAGAATAAATTCTAATTGCCAGCACTATATAAGAGCAACAACAACAAAAAAAGAGCGTATCATGTTGATTTTTACTGAAGGCCTCAGCTTCAGTCTTCAAAACCCAGAGACAAATTTCATTTCATATCCTTCCATATTTTTGAAGTGAGAATATATTTGTGAGGCATTTGGCTGTTTCATTATTGTGTTGGGTTCTCCATATTTCCTTTGGGAAAATGCTATAGAGAGTTCAGACTGGAATTCTGTGTTGTAAATGTTGCCATGGCAAATTCAGTCTGGACTTTTACTGTTGGTTTATCTAGGATGAATGTTTCTAAATTAATCATAAACCAACATTGTGTATTTTAAATACCTTTGAATCACAGTAAGTTGTTTTTTTTTTTTTTTTTATCATAATCTAAGTAAGGTTTTCAGTTTCTCCACATGGTCACAATGAGATTTTATTTTTTTTTCCTTAGCAAAGGGTGAATCTTTTAGTGAATGCCCATTTCTTTACTTACTGTGAACTCTCCCTTCGTATTATCCTAGACATTTAATAAGAAGGACTGTTGATTCCCCCTTAAACAGGCTCCAATGAGTTACTTAAAACCTGGAGCAACAGTGCAAGCTTGGACTAGTTATTGCTTCAAAGCAATTACTGACAGATATTTAAAGGAAAGAAACAAGACTAGTCCAAGATTCCTCCACTTCATTTAAAACAAAACAAAACCCAATAATCCCGGTGATTGAGATCAGCCCACTAAACGTGTGGCTGCACCTGGAGGGAAGGAATGTGGCCTCCTGTGCGCTCGTCCCTGCACTCGCTGCTGTGGGACTGAACAGCATCACAGTGTAGATGGGGCTGCCGGTGCGTTTGGGTGGCTGTCTGCTGATGAAAGGAGACAGGGAAGGACTTCACATGCATTTATGTGCTCTTAAATAATTGTAAGGTAGGCTTCTGAGCAAGATGTGGGACTTCTGTGTTTTGCTTTAGTATAACTCCTGGGCTTGAAATGCTTAGGTTCAGGAGGGTGGGCAAGTAGAAGAATTTATCTATTGCTGTTCCTCCTAAAAAGGAGCTCTGGTGGCACAGTGGTTAAAGCATTCAGCTGCTAACCAAAAGGCTAGCAGTTTGAACCAACAGCTGCTCCATGGGAGAAAGGTGAGGCAATCTGCTTCTGTAAAGATTTATAGCCATGGAAACTGTATGAGTCAGTTCTACTCTGATCTAGGGTTACTGTGAGTCGGGGTCGACTCTATGGCAGTGATTTTTGTTTTTGGTATTCCTCCTAAAAGGAGCCCTGGTGGCAGAGGGGTTAAGCACTCAGCTGCTAACAGGCAGGTCAGTGGCTTGAATACACCAGCTGCTTTCTGGGAGAAAGATGTGGTATTCTGCTCCTGTAAACATAGCCTTAGAAACCCTATGGGGAGTTCTGTTCTGTCCTGTAGGGTTGCTTTGAGTCAGAACCCAAGGACACACAACAACAACATTCATCCTTAATACCCTGCTCCTTGAGGAACTCAATTTGTCTGTAGAAATATATATGTATGTAATTTTTAAATCCTCTACAGGAGGAAAAAAGGTATTGTAAAGATATGGTTTTGATCTTTGTCATACTTTTTATTTTCTGTCTGGACTTCAGATACATTTTCTTTCCTTTGCTGAAAATGTTTGACAGAAAAACAGCATTTTCCTTTCGTGTGCATTCGTTAGATAAGCAGAAACCCAGGTGTTTGGGCAAAGTAAATAATTAAATATTTAAATATTAACTAAACCTCTTTGAACATATTATGAATATTGGCGCTTTATTGTTTTTGAAAGTGTTAGTTTCCCATGCTCAGAATCCTGAAAGTCCACGCTACCTAATATTTATGGGTGGGGAATGATGCTGAAAGGATAATACTTTCCTTGAGGAACGAAAAAAGAAAGGAAAAGCTGAAGTCATTTTTCTTCTTTTCCTTATTTATTTTTTGCCTATCCTATGGTAGCAGAACTTTCTTAACTTAATTACAGACAATGCTAGGTTGTCCCATGATGGTTTTTACCTGATTCTGAAGGGAAAGCCAAAGAAATGGCCAAAATCGGGCTCCTTTCATCTGCCATAGTTATTGATGTTTTTGATTCCAGGAACATTCAGGACAGATCTCTCCTTAAAGTGTACAACAAGGATCCTGCACATGCGTTTAATCACATGCCAAAAACTGTGAACGGAGACATGAGGGTAAGTGTTTGTTCTATTTTTAATTTTGTTCTGTGGACTGTACCACACATGCCACCTCCCTTTCTCTTGCAGGTTCTCCTGATGTAATTGTGCCTTGCCACTCACCTAGCCTGATGATTCATTATTTGTTCTTTGTTAGAGAAATCAGACTTCCTGCTCACTTGGGGCACAGGGATTGAAATGGAGCTGGCACATCCTAATTTATCTCCAGGCATGGAGTTTAGTCATATTCTCCTTCCCATAAGATCTTGACAATCTACGTAAAAGGGCCCTCCTTCCTTAATAATATTTAACTTACTTAATATTTAACTTACTCAGACGATTTCTTGTTTTTTTCCCTCTACTTCAAAACAAAAACTATGCACAATTGCATGTAAAATCTATTCATGTTAACTATTAGAAATTCTAGCATCTTAATTAAATTATTCATCTTGTCATACAGGACAATTTACTGTTGTGCTATATTAAATATTATCAAATCTCTGAACTGTGTTTGAGGCATGATATAAAAATCTGCATGATATATATCGGAGGTAAAATTGTCTAGGTATAGATAATCTCAGGAGATTATTAAAGCATTCAGAACATACAGGATGTTTTGAAAGAAAAAGAACAAGAAAACTGAAAAGGCAGATTTAAAAAAATCACATTAATGCAGGTTCACTAGAAAGGGATTGAGTTTCTAAACATAGTGCTGCATTCCTCTGCAGTAAAAATGGGGGGGGGGGAAGATTTGCTATTCCATCTGTACCAACCAACACATTTAGAAAATGATGTACCATTTTATATCACCTTTTCTCTGGATTAGCACATGGTTGGGTGCTGGAGTTTATCTAGGAGGAAACAAAAACAAAACAATGAATATGTTGTATTGCCAAAGAAGCCCAGGGTACTGTTTTGTCCTAGAGTTACAATACAGTTTCTGGAGATGAAGTTGTCTCTGCTTCCTAATAGGATATATTAGTTTCTCAATGCTGCTGTAACAAATTACCACCAGTTTAGTGGCCTAAAACAACACAAATTTGCTGTCTCACAGTTTCAAAGGTCAGAAGTCCTAAATCATTCTTCTTGTTGTTAGCTATTGTCGAGTTGCTTCCAACTCAGGGTGACTCAATGTGTGCAGAGTGGAACCCTTCCATAGGGTTTTCCAAGCTGGGAAATTTTGTAACTAGATCACCAGGCCTGCCTTCTGAGGTGCCTCTGAGTGTATTCGAACAACCAGTTGAGTGCTTCATCTTTTGCACCACCAGGGACTCCAAAATCAGTCTTAAAAAAACCAAAAACTCACTGCCATTGAGTCAATTCCAACTCATAGCAACCTCCATTACGTTTCTGAGGCTGTCAATCTTTAAGGAAGTAGATTGCCCCATCTCCCTTCCACAGAGCAGCTGGTGGGTTTGAACTGCTGACTTTTTGGTTAACAGCCAAATGCCTTACTCACTATGTCACCAGAGCTCCTTAAAATCAGTCTTCCTGGGCTAAAATCAAGGTGTCAGGACTGTATTTTTTTCTGGAAGCTCTAGAGGAGAATCTGTTCCCTTGGCTGTTCCAGCTTCTAGAGGCTGTCTGCATTTCTTGGCTCGTACCCCTCTTCCTCCATTCACAGAGCCAGCAAAGTAGCATCTTTCTGTGTTTCCGTCTTTATATCTCTAACCCTCCTTCTGCCTCCCTCTTCCACTTTTAAAGCCCCTTGTTATTACGTACAGCTCATCCAGATAATAAAGGGTAATCTCCGTATTTTAAATCCAGCTGATTAGCAACCTTAGTTCCATCTGCAACTTTGATTGTCTTTGACACATAATCTAACATGTTCACAAATTCCAGGGATTAGGATGTGGCTGTCTTGGGAGAGGAGGGGACTGTTATTTATCTACCACGCAGATGATGTGAGCTAGGGCCAAGGAGCCAGCAAGGCCAATTGAAAGTGCTGGAAGAATTTATATGTGATTCTGGACTGGAATATGAGTGATGGCATTGTGGGATCAGAGCCTATATTTTTTGAAGAAAAAGGATTCTTTCTTACTCAACTGCTGCTTTTTTATGTTGGAGAAATGATGTGTGATTTGAAGTGAAAGCTATGTTGTTACTTCAGAAAATCTAGGATGTTGAAGGTTATTTTTAGTCAGTTACACTTTAAATGTAAACCAGGGCCACATGAAGACAGATTGAGTCATGCTAATAATGAAGCAAGTACTAAATATTATGGGACCCTATGCCTTTTATTGCTTTGTTATTCTCTTTGTCAGTGACATTCCTTACAGTCTTTGCTCCCTCAGACAACTTTACTTTTTGATATGTCTAGCCTTAGAACTGGAGTTCCATGGTGCTCAGAGTTCTGTCTCTGTTACATAAAGCCATCATTCCCACACAGGTGCCCAGAATCGCCTCTACAAGTCTTGTTTATGGCTGGGGAAGACACCTGTTTTAACTCTTAAGCAGATGTAGTGCCTGCATAAGGACCAGCAGTGAGTGCTGAGAGAATTAAATATTAACCATATGACAAAGCCTATTAGAATTCAGAACTTTTGCTGTGAGTTTTCAGAAAACTTGTTCTGCTTTTTCTTTTTGCTGAGACCCTCGTGATCACTTTCTGAGTTACCCACAGCCTACTTTAGACATCAGATTTTTGTATGAGAAAATCAACTCATGTCCCCAGAAGAAGGGACAATAAATATTCACCATCCTAACCAACAGAAAGGCTTTTATGTTCCAATGAAGACTACTTTGAAATGAGAAGGAGAAAACAGTTTCTTTAAAAATAAAATAAAACCCAACTAGGTGTAATTATGATGGCAAGCGATATGTGTCTCCCTGCTTTTCCGTGCAAATCTGCCTACAGTCTTTAACTTAGCCTCTATTCACAGATTCCAGAAACTAAGAGATGGAGAATTCCTTCACAATCAACTTTTGGCTCTGGCATTGGAATTCTCCCTCCTTCAATGTGTCTGCATTGCCATTAAAGGGAAGGGGGCTTTGTGGAGCTCTGTGCAACCCCATTGAGAACAAAGCAAGGATCTATTGGGGTAAACTAACGGGTTCAGGGCAGCTCCATTCCCCCTTATATTTGCAGTTGTGAGTGTTGCCATAAAGGAATTTGACTATAACTATGTACAAATTGGTTACTGTAGCCTTGTGTCTGACGTCATTCCGGCTTCCCTCACAGCCTCCCAAGATAGCCTGGGAGAGACCTCCCAGCGCCCACTCTTTGTGAATAAACATGCACATCATGGAAAAACATGAATTAGAACAAGTGAAAGGTCAACAACAGCAATAGCAGAACTTTGCAGTGCTCTCCCAGACTTTCCTTAAACGATGAATTTAACATCTTGTCATTGAAAGAAAAGAAAATGTAGGACTGTCAGTTCACCAGGAGCAGTTTTATGATGATGGGGGTGTTACTCAGGAAACATGTTAGACTAACTGTACTCACCTTGAGGTTATGGACCTCAGAGTATGCACAGAACATGTGCTTGGCTGGGAAGACATGTCTAGCTTTTCTTTTAACATCTAGCTGAGTATTTCTGAGGCTGGTCTATCTAATGAGACTTTGCAGTTCTCTTATGGCTGGTGCTGAGCACACTATTTTTACCTTACATGTGAGTGCCAATCACCACAATGTAATTGGATCGCATAGCTTTTGTTTTGCTATTTTACATAGTAGCATTGATAATTCAGGGAGGAGTCCTGGTGATGCAGTGTTTAAGCGCTCAGCTACTAACCGAAAGGTTGGTTATTGGAACTGACCAGTCCTCTGTGAAAGAAAGATGAGTCAGTCTGCTTCCATAAAGATGTATAGTTTTGGAAACTGTATGGGGCAGTTCTACACTGTCCTGTAGGGTTGTTGTGAGTTGGAATGGACTCAGTGGCCACAGATTTGCTTTTTGGTTATTGGTAATTTGGCTCCCATGGGACTGAGCTCACCATATGGAAACAAGTCTTTTTACTAAAATTTTAGATGTACCACAAGGATTTTAATTCATAAATGTACAATTCAAAGATAAGCCATCTCATTGAAAAACCTCCCTCACCACCACTGCTACCACTAGTTGTTGTCAAATCAGCTCCCCACTCATGATGACACCATCTGTGTCAGAATAAAACTGTGCTCCATAAGATTTTCAATCATTGACTTTTTAGAAGTAGATCACCACGACTTTCTTCTGAGGCACCTTTGGGTGTACTCGAACCTTCCACCCTTTAGTTAGCAACTAAGTGCATTAACTGTTTACACCACCTAGGGACTCCCAGAGATACTGTTGTTTTGTGATGTGCCCTCGAGTCAGACCCGACTCATAGCGACCCCTCCTTGGTTTTCCAAGGCGGTATCACTATGGAAGTAGATTGCCCCATCTTCCTTCTGAGGAGTGGCTGGTGGGTTTGAACTACCAGCCTTCTGGTTAGCAGTCAAGTGCCTTAGGCACTATGCTACCCAGAGATACTAGTGACTTCCTAATCACCAAAGCCCTCAGGCCTCTCCATCTCCTTATGTGATTTGAGATCATTTCCCAGCATTCTCTGCTCTTACCTTTTAATGTCCTCCCTCCTGCCTCCTTTCTTTAATTTCACTTATATGTCTTTAATTTTCACTTTTGTATGAACAATTTCCATTCTGCATTTAGAGCACACTCCCCAGACTCAGCCCTGCATCTTAAATTACTTCTTATTAGCCAAGTCTGTGGCTGCCTCTTGGTTCTCCTCTATTTAAGTTCTGTATTTGACACTGGTGAAGAGCCTCCTTAAAAAGCTGTATTCCCTTGGTTTCATTACACAGCCATTTCTAAACTCCTTGCTTACATTCAACCCACACCTTGATCTCCTTCACTAATGCTTGACCCCTAAATGGTCCTCAGTGTGTTCCAGTTCACTTTTTTTTTTTTGCTCTGCACCTTGTGATGTTTATCTTAGCACTGATTTAACTATTATATCGATGTACATGACCCTGAAACGATATCTCTAGTTCTGCTATCTTCCTAGAGTTCAAGACCCAAAAGATCAACTTC